CCTCCGCTCCGCTCACCCATGCGTAACTGCCTCCCCTCCGCCCGCCGCTCTGCTCACTCCTCCGTTGCTCCTCCCCTCCCCCTGCCCCTCCCCACTCTCCAACTGCCCCGCTCTTCCTCCGCCTCGGAGAGAGAGAGAGAGAGAGAGAGAGAGAGGATGGCGGGCGCGAGAGAGAATGCAATTATGCAACTAACTACAACCCCTTCCTCGCTCCCTCTTGCACGCCTACTTGCTCCACCGGCGGCCCTCCCCTGTCTCTCTCTCACCTCCTCTTTCGCGAGCAGCCCCCTCCACCGGCTGCGCGTGCACGCGCCTGCCCTCTGCGTGCGCCCCTCCCTTGCTCGCGTGTTGTTCCTGCCCCCACCCCTCCCCACTGCTCCACTCCACCCTCCGCTCCTCCCCTCCCCCTCCTCCACTCCTTCCCCGCCCCCACTCGCCGGCGCGTGTGCTCCTCCTCTGCGCGTAACTGCCTCCCCTCACCCTCTCTCGCGCGCCTACTTGCTCCGCCTGCGCTCCCCCCCTCTCTCTCTCTCTCACCTCCTCCCCTCCATTGCCCCTCCCAACCCAAAAAACAGCAACTGAACAACCCAGCACAACACAACTAAAAGGATTGCAAAGTGTGAACAGGTCTCTCTCAGCTGAAAAAAATAAATAAAAATAGACTTCCAAAGATCCAGCGGCAACGCATCGACTGCATCAACAACAGTGCACAGGTGAGCCTCAAAGCCACACCAACCCCCTCTCCCAACCCCCCCAACAGCACTGTTTTCCCCCTTTTTTTTTGCGAGCGAAGCTGCAACAGGTACCCTTGTATTTATTTATTTCTGCAACTTGGTCAGACATCTGCTGTCGTAGGCCCCACAGAGGGCCCTAGTGCAGATAGCGATCTGCTCTAGCTGATGAGCGGTAATGGTCGTGAGGAAGGGACAGCTGACGATCGGAGGCAGACACAGTAGGAAACTCAACGTAGACCTGAAGTGTTCCAGGTCCTGTTACAGCGGATGAGAGAAGGTTCCGAGCCGAACCAAGGTTGGCGAGTTTGCAGAGCACTAGGGAGGCAGCAGCAGCAGCAGAACGTGCGTTAGCAGCGGCAGCAGCTAGTGTTGATGCTATGGCTACTTCTGCAGCGACCTCTCAAGGTCAGCAGTCATCCGGAACATACTCTATGTCCTTTGTCTCACCCAGCAGGATGAGTAGAGGACCCTCTTCGAGTCAGATGGTGGGCCCTCAGTACAGCCAGCCACCTCCACCCAGTAGAGAGGATATAGAGATCCAGCAAGTAGAACTACTCCTCTTATGGCTAGAGAAACAACTCAGAGATGCTCCCGTGTGGCATTCTGAGCCACACGGGCCCCAGTTAGGGCCCGGTTCCAGACAGGCAGGGTAAGCCTAAGGGACGACGGTTCAGATGAGGCCCAGATGGGCCTGGACCATGACGGTTCAGGCAGGCCCAGGGTAGAGGCCCAGGCCAAACGGCCACAAGGCCGGTACCGGTCCGGCATAGGACCTACCGGCGGCGCTGCAGAGGCTGCCACGGTTTAGGCGCCAACCAGTTTTAAAACTGGGCCGTTGATCTAGATCAACGGCTCAGGCCGGTAGGTACCAGCAGGTAGGAGGCCGGCCCAGCACTACAAAAGGCTGGGTACCAGCCTCCGTAGGTGAGAGTTAGTATGGACGAGGTTAGTCTCCAGGATTAGCGCAGCAGCCCAGCATAGCTCGATTAGCGCAGCGCTGCAGCACAGCGAGGAGCAGCGAGAGAGCAAGAGTCCGGCGGCGAGGAGATTAGCGCAGCATTGGGCGCAGCGCCAGTTACCGGCCCAGCCCCCTTGCAGCGCCATAGCCATTGTGCCAGGTACCAGGGAGGAAGGCTTCGCCTTCTCTCCCTCATCTCCTCCACCGCTCCTCTCTCTTCTCTTTCTCCCTCTCTCTCTCTCTCTCTCTCTCTCTCTCTCTCTCTCTCTCTCTCTCCTCCTACCTTGTCAGTCTCAGTCTAAATCTGGGTTCTCCTACGGGACTACTTCAGTATGAGGGATGGTTACGAACTCTGATAACATTGGGAATAGCGACATTGGGACCGTCGGAAGATGTACTTGACATTGTGAGACCGATATCTGCGATATTGTGAGACTTGGCATTCACGACATTTCGGATTTTCGTCACTTCTGACATTTCAAGATACTATCTTTGGAGACATTGAGTTGACTTTATCTTCCCTCTCCTCCTCCTTTCGTCTCTCCCTCTCTCCCTTCGTCCGTGGATGATCCTAGTCCCTGGCCTTTCGTCTATGTCTGAGGCCAGGGCATTCACACCCCTGATGAATGTTTGAGAGTGTTCGATTGCAGTCCGAGTCAGGTCCGAGTCAGTCCAAGGTATCTCAAGTCTTCCGCTTGCATTTGTATTAACTCTGTATTATCTGGTCGGTTCTGGGAATCTGCGCCATACTTATGACTGTGTTTCACGAGTATGCAACATACCGCCATAGAGACAAAAGCTAGAAATAGAAAAAGGTAGACTGCAGAGCAAAGAGGCAGACAAGGCTGCTTTAGAAGGGTTAGACGACCTTGTCTTTGACGATACTAGTAGAGTACTCAAGGCGGGTATGCTGAGAATGTACGAGTACATGGAAAACAAACTGGATGATATCCAGGCAGCTCTTGACCTGATACTTATTGCCATGCAGGGGAAAGGAAAGCCGGTCCCTTCCATAACAAGCGTGCCTAGTGTCAGGCCCCAAGCTGTCTTTCCATCGCCATCCCCATATCCGGCGATGACAGGCCCGTTTGTTCGTCAATTTGTCCCACAAGGTGATACGCCAGCAGCAGCTGCACAGACTGCTGCTTCTTCATCCTCAGGTCCAGCTGCTGCTGCTACAGGGCAGCAGCTGGTCCAACAGCCTGTGCAGCAACGGGTTCTAGCTGGACCTCAGCAGCAATGGTTCCCGAAGCCCCGTTGAAACCACCTCAAACCTTCTAAGGAGATAAGAAGGATGAGGCCCCTGACACTTGGTTGAGGACAGTTCCAGTGTGGGTGAGGGCCAAGCGCACACTGCATGAAGACGAAGTTATCACAACTACCTCTTACCTTGAAGGTTCGGCAGCAAGATGGTTGGATGGGTTAGTTGCATCTCGGGGCTACGAAAGAAGAATGAACGATTGGGCCAGTACCCAGATACTAGAGTCCTTTATGGATTTAGTGGAGGTGCGGTAGCACAACCCACCGCAGGCTCTGCAAGCCGCTGATGCATTGCCCAGGCTTGATATGAAGACGTACAAGTCTGCACGCGACCTCACTAACGTTGTAGAGCGCCTCATCGTCATCCCGGGAGTGAGCTACGATCCACGTGTCTTAATGACCATGTACTTGAAATATCTTTCTACAGACATCAAGAACATGTTGGTCAGTGAGGCCAGGATCGACTTTCCCGACCTGGCCTGTTTTAGCAACAAGGCTTTAGACTTAGAGGCCAAGCTAGAAGGAGCGCAGCAGGTTGCTACGGACGGTAGGAAGAAGAAGGTTCCATAAGAGTGGAAAAAGAAAGGTAGCCGGTTGATGATGGTTGATCCCGATGGGAATCAAACGTAGATCGATGATATTTTCGATCTTGTGAAGACACAGAGTTAGGTTGCCAGGAGAGTCTCGAGGGTGGAGATCTCGCCCCAGCAACTAAAGGAAAGGCAGTTGGTCGAGGGAGGGCAGCCAACAAAAGAATCAAGTGAAGGCCCAACCCCCGCCCAATGCTCCAGCTTGGGTGAGAGCTGGTCTTGATCATCACATGTGGAGAGGTTGCTATACACGCGGAGCTTGCATTAACTGCGTCCTGTATGGGTACCAACAGTTTAAGAGCAAGAGCACTAAGGTTTCTCATAAGGTTCCACCGATGATGCTGGCGGATCTTCCTCTCAGGGTGGTGCCTCTACGAGCACACCCCAGGGAAACACGTCGGGCAAGTAGAGGTTAGAGCTGCCTCTGGTCATGCTGAAGTGGAAGATGTCCCCTCAACACTTCAGAAGTTGGTCGAAGCTGACTCACTTGTCACCCCGCAGATGCATCTAGACCAAACGACGCTCTGTACGTTAGATGTACCTGAGGCCTTAAAGGAGTGGTCAGCAAGAGACCCTCGTGAGTCTTGGGCGGCTAAGTCAAAAGGTCCTAGAGGGGAGCACTTCGTTGTGGAAGTCGGTGTAGGTGGCCGCAAGTATGGCGCCTTTATAGACAATGGATCCACGCGGAACTTCATAAGTCGCGACTGTGTTGAAAGGCTGCGTCTAGGGGGCCGGGTGCAGCGGCTAAGTAGATTTATGGCTTCTACTTTAGCCAACAATGATTGCACGTTTGTCCATGATTACGTCAAGTACGTGGTCTGCACCTTCTCCTATGGAGGAGGGGAACTTAATCATAAGATTTTGTTCCTAGTTAGCGGTGACTTACCGTTCGACATTCTGTTGGGTATGCTCAAGCATGTGTTGTCAGATGCGAGAACTGTTAGACTAGCTAAGTACAAGGCTAGGAGGTTAGTTAACTCCTATGGTTGCATGTGCGCGTCTGCATTCTATAATTATTATAAATAGAACCAAGAGGAGGGTATGCACTTGGTCTTCGTCTCTGAGAAAGGGGAGGCCATTAAGTCACCCCAGAGATCGACGTTGTCATTGCCAAGTACCCAGATCTATTTGAGGAGCCTTCGGGTGTCGTAGAGAGGGAGGTCGTTCATGCCATAGACGTTATCCCAAGTAGTAAAACACCAAAGAGGAGGATCTATAGGATGCCCCCGACGGAGTTGGACGAACTTCGACAACAATTGAAAGACCTTACACAAAAGGGTTGGATACAGCCTAGCACATCTCCCTACGGATCGCCACTTTTATTCGTACTGAAGAAAGGGGGATGGAGCAAGGATGTAGCTACTTTACGAACATAGACTTAAAATCCGGCTACCATCAGATTGCGGTTAGACCGGAGGTACGGTCTACACAAGTTTGTGGTGATGTCGTTTGGTCTTTGCAATATGCCGGGTACATTTCAGCACGCTGTCAATAGGATATTTCACAACTACTTAGATAAGTTTATCTTTGTGTACCTCGACATCCTTATAGTTAGCAAGATTGTTGTGAAGCATGCAAAACACGTTGACCTTGTGCTTGGACTCCTGCGGCAGCACAAGTATACGATCAACTTGAAGAAATGCGAGTCTGGTCGCACCAAGATCTTATACTTGGGTCATGAGTTATCCGCGGAAGGTGTTAAGATGGAAGATGCGAAGGTGGCTAGCATTCGTGACTCGCCACGACCTCAGTCTGTGACAAAGGTCAGATCCTTCTTGGAAATGATAGGCTACTACCGCAATTTCGTAAAGAACTATAGTACAACGGCTTCCCCCTTGACGGATCTAGCACGCCTTGACACTCCTTGGGAATTGACAGATGATTGTGAGAGGACCTTCAAGCGATTGAAACATGCGCTCATGCATCATGAGGTCCTCATGCTCCCTGATCCCGCGAAGCCATTCATTGTAACCACTGACGCAAGCCAATATGGCATTGGCGCAGTGTTGGCTCAACACGATAGGAAAAACTTGAAGCCGATCGAGTATATGAGTAAGAAGATGCCATCAAAGAAGTTGGCGAGATCCACATACGAGAGGGAACTCTTCGTCTGTACAAAGCTTTAACCCACTGGACACATTATCTGTTGGGCAGATTGTTTTATTGAGATCTGACCACTAGACACTCAAGTGGATAAAGACGCAACCGATTCTTTCTGACGCAAGCCAATACGGCATTGGCGCAGTGCTGGCTCAACATGATAGGAAAAACTTGAGGCCGATTGATTATATAAGTAAGAAGATGCCATCAAAGAAGTTGGCGCGATCCACATACGAAAGGGAACTCTTCGTCTATACAAAGTTTTAACCCACTGGAGACATTATCTGTTGGGCAGATTCTTTTATTGAGATCTGACCACTAGACACTCAAGTGGATAAAGACACAACTGGTTCTTTCTGACGCACTCAAACGCTCGATCGAAATCATAGACCAATATGACTTCAAGCTAGACTAGGTGTAGCATATCAGAAAGTGAAATGCACTGAGAGCCTAGGATCTAGCAATGACGAAAGTGGCAACAAACAGCAGCATAGGTGCAACATTCACAAGA